TCAGTTAACTGCGGGGGAGCAGGGTCTCCCCATTACTCTGCCTGAACAGCTGATCTGACTGTGAGGTGAACTTGGTGTTTATATACAATACATCTCATCATTCTTTTCAGCTGCGTTTCCAGCCCTTGCAGTCTTTGGAATCTTAATTCTGGCCCCATGGAGAGGTGTTCTCTCAGACAAGCATCACAGGCAAATGTGTTAATGTGTCCCATGAGACTCCAGGCAGGTCCCCATGGAGACTCAGGGCACCAGGCCAAGAGCAGCTGTCCTCTCCTGAGGTCTCCAGACTGAGGCTGACTTCCAGCTGTGCCCCTGAGGACAGCATTCGAGTGAGTTCCGTCTCGTATCCTGCCACCCAGGCGTGTCTGTGTGCCTGCTTCGTGGGCATTATCCACCTGCAAACGTCGCTCAGCTCGGGAAACCACTGCAGGGGCTGCCATGTGGCATAGAAGGAGGGGCACACCTGCCCTCAAGGAGCCCCCATCCCCGCTGGGAGTGGAAATGAGCGCCTGTGAGAAAACAGGCACACAAGGCCAAGTATGGTCAGTGTCTGGGAATGACACAAAGATCTCCCATAAACACACGGATAGACCACCGAGCAGTTATTCATCTCACACACAGCAGAGTAGCCCTTCCGCTCCTCCGGGTGCCAGGCCTGGTTTGTGCTCCCGTCATTGCCTTTAAGCCTCACAACTACCCTGGGAGGTCCATGCTGTTGCCCTCGTTTGAGAGAGAAAACGGAGGCTCAGGCAGTTTTAGGAATGTGCCAAAGGACAGACATCTAGTGTGTAGTGTTGAGCCCTCTTGGTTCCATCTCTGAAGCCCAGGACGTCCACTCATGGTCCTACCATTGGGGTGGACTTTGCCCATGAGAAGCAGGCCCGCTCTCAGGGCGCAGCCTGAGGGCCGTACTGAGGGCAGACCCCAGGTGTGCCGTCTCAGCGACAGTGGAAAAGGAGAGTGAGGCTGGCTTGGCAGGACTTCAGGCCGGGCGCTCATGCTTCAGAGGGGGGCCACCAACACCAGACCCAGTCAAGCGATGCTGGGCTCAGGAACCACAAGTACTGCCACATGCCCACAGCTCAGTGACCCCTCGGGTGGCACTGCAGCCCTCACACTTGGGGACCTGGGCTCTCTTGCCCCTGGGCCTGAGGAATTCCCTTCCGCCGAATCCTTCTCACTTCCACTAGAACAGTGTGTCCCCAAAAAACCAAAACGCCGACGACTGTGCTTCCCCTTCAGAACCAGAGACGTGGAGGCAGCCCTGTCTCGTGTTTGGTTTGTTCCCTGAGGATTAGAGCCTGGTCCTCTCTCTGTCCTGAGTGGACACCCACTGTGGGGTCGGCCAGCAGCAGGTGAGGGAACCTTGCCCAGCAGTCATCTGGCAAACAGGCAGGTGCCAGTGAGACAAGACATCAGTCCCCATGTGGATGAGGACATGGCCACAAACAGTGACTGTCCACAAAATCAATGGGGAGAAAAGAACGGGGGTGGGGGTGAGCAGGTTCAAGAGTGCAGGCTGGGAGCTAGGGTATCAGGAAGTGGAGCTGAAGGGCAGCGAGGTGAGGGGTCAAAGGCCTGGGGAATGAAAGGTCAGAGGTTGATGAGGAAGAGTCTGGGCAAGGGAGCCAGGTGCAGGCAGATTTAGTGCCAGCGACCAGCGGGCACAGGCCAGGGGTGCAGGTGCAGCAGGCAGCTGGTGCCGGCAGCTGTGGAGAGGATGGGTGAGAAGATGATCTCCACAGTCCACAAGGAGCAGGCAGTCTGGAGACAGGGCTCCCTTCTCAGCAAACAGGCTGCCCGCAGCATGAGGCCAGGCCACTCCAGGCCGGTTCTATACCACTTGTCCACTATGCCTGCCAAACAAGCCTGTGGCAAAGAAATGGATCCAGGCGGAAGAGGACCACACAGTCTGCAGAGCAGAGTTCTCCTTTACTTCTTAAAGACCCGCGGCCTGACTGCACCGATGGAAAGCACACCGAGGCCCCCGCGGCCTCCTGTCCACAGCCTACATGCATCCTGCACCACACTTCAAAGCACAGCTGGGCGGGGGGGCGGGGGGAGGGCGAGGCTCTTGTAATTCAGTCCTGTGAGGAGCCTGAGTCCAGCCCCATTTCCTGAGCCCCAGGCTCATTTTCAGGGACAAACAGCGCTCCAAAATGTGCCATCTGCCTGATCAGCCGCCAAAAACAAAAGACAAGGCTCCCTCCTGGGTGCCAGTCTGGCTCAGGCACAAACTCTGAGGAGGACCCAAGCTCCAACCACTCTGATCACAAACACCCAGTCCCCTCCCAGAGGAAGACAGCCAGCGAAACTGTGAGCCTTTGGACGCACCGGGCTCCACCGCAAGGCTACGTATGAGGCAGGAGTCACACTGGGCTTTTACCCCATTCCTCAGGTGCTTCCAGACATGACTGACAGAGAAACAGTGAAACAGTCTCAGTCTCGGGAAATGCCCACGGGGGCTTCTTGTCTTCAGTGGTGCTGGAAGCCAGGAGTCTGTCTCAGACACATGCTGCGGCTGTGTCTTGGCACCTGGGGTGCTGGGATGGGGCCGGGCGCTGCACAGGCTGCAGCCCAGCCCAGGGAGGTGCAGCACAGGGAGGAGCAGGCCCCTGCCTAGGGCTGCCTCAGGTGTGCCTGCCTCTGCTCCTGGGAGGAGGGAGGTTGTGCTCAGAGCAGAGGTGGACCTGAGGGTGGAGGTATGGGCATGAAGGGCCACAGGGATGGAAAGATGAAGGAGCCTCCCTCACATCCTGGAGGGAGTAGTATTTGAAAGGAAGGTCCCCAGTGGCTAGGGAGTCGGACACTGGGCAGACTGGCTTGGCCTTTGATGTGTCTGCAGGGACTGTTGGCAGAGAGCCCGGCTGCTTGGTTTCCCAGCCCTGGGCAGCCTCCCTGCCCGCGTCTGAGCCCCTCCAGGGAAGTGGGTAGCTGGCCAGCCTTACCCACCTTTGGCAGGGAGTGGCTGCCACGACCTTGGGGTTCCCTACAAGATTTTCTCTGAGCTTCTTAAATTGTAGTCTAAAGAAAAGTGTGTAAACATTAACTGTACACCGTTTCACAGTTGCTCCCTCTGTGTAATCACTCCCAGGACCAAGGTGTAAAACATCTCCACACCTAGAAGCCTCCCTCCCACCTCTTCCCATCAGCCTTCCCCTACAGCCACCATGCTCTTGACATCCGTGCCAGGACTCCCTCTGCCTGCTTCTGAACTTCCTTTAAAATCACACAGCACATGCTTTTCTGTGTGGCTTCTTCCAAAAGTGTGTCTGTGAGTCATCCATGCTTTCATGTGCAGTAATCTTTTGTTCCTTTTCACTGCTGGGTAGTATTCTGTGGTGTGGACATACCACACTTTATGTATCCATACCACTGTTGGTGGACATTTGAACTGTCTCGTTTGGGGCCAGCATAGTCAAGTTTCTATGGACATTCTTACATATGCCTTTGAGTACCGTGCAAGCGTCTGCCGGGGAAAGTCCCATGAGCTGAAATGTCTGGGAGCACAGGTGTTTTACTTCTCCAAGGCACCATGGTGGTATTCAGGTTTTTTCACCCCCCTGGGAACTGAAGCAAATGCACAAATAGAAGCTTACATGGTATGAAGGAAATTGTGGATCTTACAGGTGTACTATAGAAGGGTGTGTGTGTGTGTGTGCGTGTGTGTGTACTTACTGTTACTGCTGTAGGAGGATCTTAGAATGTCCTAGTCCAGTGATGGCGAACCTATGACATGCGTGTCAGAGGTGACACGGGAACTCATTTTTTTTGGTTGATTTTTCTTTGTTAAACGGCATTTAAATATATAAAATAAATATCAAAAATATAAGTCTTTGTTTTACTATGGTTGCAAATATCAAAAAATTTCTATATGTGACACGGCACCAGAGTTAAGTTAGGGTTTTTCAAAATGCTGACACGCCGAGCTCAAAAGGTTCGCCATCACTGTCCTAGTCAGCTTTTCCAAAATAAATTTGAGAGGACCAAAAAATTTAGGGAAGGGAGAGGAAATGACTAGAGATAAGGCTGGAAAAAGAGATCAGGGTCGAGCTGCAAAGGGCCTTGAATGCCATGCTAAAGTAAGTGGACTTCATCCTGCAAGAGACAGGAATCACCAGGTGTGTTTAACAAACACCTACTGGCACCTACACACCACTAGGTAGGTGTGGCAAACCAGCCTCGTCACCTACGAAGCTGAGTGAACTGCAGTTAGTGGGGGGCAGGGGAGTGAAGGGCTCAGTTAGAGCAAACAACCTGTGTCCAAGTCCCAGGTCTGCCTCTCATCAGGGATGACTCCAGTAGTCACAGAATGACGTGCATGCTCAGCCACGAACAGCACCTGGACATACACTGACGAATGGTGCACTCGCGGGCAAACGCTCCTACATATACTAGTACACAGCGGTGACAGGGGGTCAGAAGCCATGCATACAAGATGCTCCCTCCTCAGCAGCAGCCCAAACTTACTAGAAACCTAGTGCTTCATAGTAACAGAAAAGAGAGGAAATTAATAGGCCTCCAATTAGCCTCAAATCATCTTTGCTTTAGGGACTTGCAGTTGGATGAACTTGCCGAATAATCCAGAGTCCCAAGAAGACATTGCAAATAGTCTGGCGACGTTTCCCTCAGCTCGGTATGAGCTCTGGGGTTGGGAAGACAAGAGCGACAGTACTTAAGAGAGTCTCAGAAAAATGGGTGCCAGGCACAGGTTTCCCATGAACACTGGGAAAGGTCCACAGGGGAGCCCTCCTTTGTGCCCAGAGTGAGATGATTCGAGCCAGGCCTGGGAGAGACCACTCAGACCTGATCAAAGCAATTCTTATAGCACTGACATGGTGAATGAAAACCCTATTTGATCTTAGATCATTGTGGAGTAGCCTTTCTCTCTTATAAAAGGGGGCTCCACAGTCATGTTACACCTGGTCTGGTGAAATAAACAACATGGGGCGGGGGGGGGGGGGGGGAGAGGAAGCGAGCCTGAGAGAGCTTGGCCTTACCTCCACGTACAGGAGGGGGAAAATTCCAATCTTGTCTCCCAGCATTCCTTCTGCCCAGTTGTCATCCACTCTTCTGATCACAGTCAGGATTTCATCCTGGAATTGCCAGAGCCCACAATGTGTACAACCACATGGACATCCACACAACAAAAGAGAAAACAAGAGACCTGTTAGCACTGTTGAAGCCCAGAAAAGATTCTAAACAATGATTCAAAGAATGGTTTATTATCCATTCTGAAATATGACATGTGAAAACAGTCACCCCTTACATTTTCACCCAGGATAGCTCTCTTTTTTATGTAGTGATTACAGCTGCAAAAATTCTCAAATGTTTTCCATTTATAATATGCAGGAGTCCCTCCTTATCCTTGGTTTTGCTTTCCACAGTTTCAGTTACCTATGGTCAACTGTGGTCTGAAAATATTAAATGGAAAATTCAATTTTTGACTTTTTAAAACATCAGGTGCCTATACTTGTATTTAAGAATTTCTAGCCTGGCCGGCATGGCTCAGTGGTTAAGCGTCAACCTATGAACCAGGAGTTCACGGTTCAATTCCTGGTCAGGGCACATGCCCAAGTTGCAGGCTCCATCCCAGGTGTGGATGATCAATGGGATTTTAGGAGGCAGACGATCAATGGGATTTTTCTCTAATCATTGATGTTTCCATCTCTTTCTCCCTCTCCCTTCCTCTCTGAAATAAAAAAAAAATATATTATTAAAAAAAAAATTTCTGGTACCAAGAATTAACCAAATCTATATTCATTGCTGTGCTATTTACAACAGCCAAGATATTCAAGCCTCCCATGTGCCCATCAATAGACAAGTGGATAAAAAAGTGGTGGTACATATATACAATGGAATATTACTCAATCATAAAAAAAAAGAATGAATTCTTACTATTTGCAACAGCATGGATTGACCTAGAGGGTATTATGCTAAGTGAAATAAGTCAGTCAGTGAAATAAGTCAGTCATGATTTCACTTATATGTGGAAACTAAAGAACAATATAAAAAAACAAACAAAATAGATTCAGAAAGCAGACTAATACTAATTGTTGCATGGGGAGGCAGGGGCTTGCACTGGGTAAAAAAAGCAAAGCTTATTAAGAAGCACAAATTGGTAGTTACAAAATAGTCATGGGGATGTAAAGCACAGCATAAGGAATATAGTCAATAATCTATAATAATAAAAGCATAATATGCTAATTAGACCAGACGTCCTTCCGGATGTGCATCCTTCCAGATGTGCTTCCTTCCAGACAAAGCCGCGGCTGGCGGGGGCCGAGGCAGAGGCAGCTGCAGTGGCGGTAGGGGTCAAGGCCCTTGCAAGAATTTCATGCACCGGACCTCTAGTATTGTAATAATAATGTAATAATTATGTATGGTGCAGATGGGTACTGGAAATATTGGGGGAGGGGACCACTATGCTGTATACCTGAAACTAATACAAAATAATATGGAATGTAAAATATAATTGAAAAATAGCAAAAAGAACTCATATAACACCACCAAAACAAAAGCAATGTCATTAAAGAAGGCCTGGGGCGGGGGAGGGAGGGGTAAAGAGGAGGTTAAGGGGGGGAAAAGAAGGACATCTGTAATATTTTCAACAATAAAGATAAATTTTTAAAAAATGGGCAGAGGACCTGAATAGGTACATTTCCAAGGAAGTCATAGTGATGGCCAACAAATATCTGGGGGGCAGGGGAATGCTCAAGATCACTAGCTATAAGGGAAATGCAAATCAATACCACAATGAGACACCACCTCACACATGTCAGAATGGCTATTATCAATAAAACAAGAGATAAGTGTTGGTGAGGATGTGGAGAAAAAGGAACCCTTGTACACTGGTGGTGGGAATGTAAATTTGTACAGCTGCTATGAAAAACAGTATGGATGTTTCTCAAAAAATTAAGAATAGAGCTACCATGCGACCCAGCAATTCTGCTTCTGGGTATCTACCCCAAAATTTTGAGAACACTTATTTGTAAATATATACATAGTCTATGTTCATTGCAGCATTATTCACAATAGCTAAGACATAGAAACAACACAGTGTCCTTTGATATATGATTGGATTAAGCAGTGGTACATATATACAATGGAATACTACTCAGCCATAAAAAATGAAATATTGTCATTTGTAACAACATGGATGGATGGATCTTGAGAGTATTATGCTGAGTGAAGTAATTCAGATAGAAAAATACAAAATTCTTAATATTTCACTCATATGTGGGCTAGTATACAAAAAGCAACAAATGAACAACAACAAAAACCCCTCATAGATACAGACAACAGAATTATGGTAACCAAGGGAAAGGGGGTAAGGGAAGGACAAAAGAGGCAAAAGGGGTTAAATACAAAGTGACAGAAGGAGACGAATACACAGGTAGTGAGTACACAATAGAGTATACAGATGTTGTGCTATTTTGTTGTACACCTAAAATTTATATAATGTTATTAACAAATGTTACCCTCAAGAAGTTTAATTTTAAAAAAAAAAGAGAACCTGAAAGAATCAATTAAAAACTTATGGTACTAATGACAAACTATAGCAAGATTTCAGGATAGAAGATCCTATATAATAAAAGGCTAATATGCAAAGTGTCCCCTCGGGAGTTGGACTGACTAGGAGTTCGACTGCTCCCTATGACATGCACTGACCACCAGGGGGCAGTGAAGAACAAAGGAAGGCCCAGGCCGGCAGCTGGAAGGCCCCAATCGGCCCTGATCGCCAGCCAGACCTAGGGACCCTACCTGTGCACGAATTTCGTGCACTGGGCTTCTAGTTAATATATAAACATTAAACACTTTTCTATATACATGCATGCCTTGGAGATACTATGGGTTCAGATCCAGAACACTGCAAAAAAGCTCTTGTTGGTGGAGGGTTTTGCCTTCCACTCGGTACAAAATGCAATATTTGCAAAGCGCAACAAAGTGAAGTACAATAAAATGAACAAGTGGAATTTGACATTAAAATCACAATAATGTTTATATTAGCATCTAAAATAAAGTATTTAGGTATAAATCTAACAAAATAAGTACAAATAGCTATATGAGAAAAACTACAAAACTCTGATAAATGAAATCAAAGAAGAAAAAATAAAGAGATGTATATTTTCATGGCTTGAAAGCTTCAATATTGTCATAATATCAGTTTTTCTCAACTTCTACATTCAGTGCAAGCCCAATCAAAATCTCAAGAAGTGATTTTATGGCAATTAACAAATTAATTGTAAAGTTTATATGGAGAGGCCAAAGACCCAGAATAGTCAACATAATATTGAAAGAGAAGAACAAGGATGATACTATTTGACTTCAAGACTAAAGCTACAGTACTAAAGACAGTGTGGTATTGGTGATAGAACATAAAAATAGATCTAATAGATCAATAAAACATAACATAGCATCTAGAAATAGACCCACATAAATATAATCAACTGATCTTTGACACAGGAGCAAGGACAATATAATGGAGAAAAGACAGTTTTTTCAACAAATGTTGAAACAATTAGACATCCACAGGCAAAAAAAAAATTGATCTAGATCAAAACTTTATACCCTTCAGAAAAATTAATGCAAAATGGATCACAAACTAAATGTAAAACACAGAACTATAAAACCCTTAGAAACTAGCAGAGAAGACCCGAGCCTTGGGTGTGGTGGTGACTTTGAACACAACACCAAGGGTCGGTCTATGAAAGAAAGAACTGATAAGCTGGACTTCATTAAAATTAAAATTTTCGGTTCTGCAAAAGATACTGTCAAGAAAATAAAAAGACAAGCCACAGACTCATGTAAATATTTGCAAAAGATATATCTGACAAAGAACTGTTATCCAAAATACACAAAGAACTTTGAAAAGTCAATAATAAGAAAACATACAATCCAACTTCAAAATGGGCCTATGATCTTAACAAGCACCTCACTAAAGAAGACATGTAGATGGCAAATAAGCACATGAGAAGATGCTCCACATCATGTCATCAGGGAAATGCAAATTAAATCAATGAGATATGGCTTAGACACCCTTTAGAACAGCCAACAGCAACGAATGCTGGTGAGGATGTGAGGCCACAGGAGCTTTCAGCCATTGCTGGTGGGGACAGAAAATGGTGCAGCAACTTTGGAAGATAGTTTGGTAGTTTCTTGCAACACTAAACATACTCTGACACTATAATCCAGCAATCACACTTTTTGGCAATGACCCAAAGAATTTGAAAACTTATGTCCACACAAAAGCCTGTTCATGGATATTTACAGCAGTTTTATTTATAATCACTAAAACTTGGAAGCAATCAAAATTTCCTTCAGTAGGGGAGAGGATAAATAAGCTGTGGTAAATCCAGACAATAGAATATTATCCAGCGCTAAAAAGAAATGAGCTATCAAGCCATAAAAGATATGATAGAAACTTAAATGCATATTATTAAGTGAAAGAAGGCGATCTGAATATGCTACATACTACATCTAATATATGACATTGTGGAACAGGCAAAACAATGGAGACAGTAAAATGATCAATGGTTTCAGGGGCTGGAGAGGGAGGGGTGAATCAGCAGAGCACAGCAGTGACAGCGCTCTGGATGATACTGTCAAGCTGAGCACATGTTTTTATACATGAACCCACAGAATGCACAACACCAAGTGAAGCCTCATGTAAACCCTGGACCCTGGGTGACAGGATGTGTCACTGTAGCTTCATCAGTTGTAACCGACGCACCTCTCTGGTGGGGATGCTGGTCATGGGAGGCTGTGTGTGGGGGACAAAGAGGCACATGGGAATCTCTGTACCTTCTGCTCAATCCAGGTATGAACCTAAAACTGCTCTATAAATGAAGTCTATTTAAAAACCAGCTAATAGCCCTGACTGGTGTGGCTCAGTGGATAGAGCATCAGCCTGCAGACTGAAGGGTCCCAGGTTCGATTCCGGTCAAGGGCATGTACCTTGGTTGCGGGCACATCCCCAGTAGGGGGTGTGCAAGAGGCAGCTGATCGATGTTTCTCTCTCATTGATGTTTCTAACTCTTTATCCCTCTCCCTTCCTCTCTGTAAAAAATCAATAAAATATATTTTAAAAACCCCC